AAAAAAAGGAAGCATCATGTAATCGTCCGTTTCCTTAAATTCAACTCGAAAGAATCGACCATCTTGCTATAGCAAGTCAACACCACCAAGCCGGAACAGTAAAACCTGCTCCTCTACCGGTATAATAAACAGAAAATCACCCAACAATCACACCCCAATTATTCCCGTATAGAAAAATACATGCACCATACTACCTAACCTAACATCAACCCACCAATCAAATCTCAATCACAAATCACTATCCCTTTACCGTGCTAAGTTAAAAAAGTTGGAAAAAAAAAAAAGGTACTTTTGATATGTACCGGTATGTACTTTTCGACTTTACTAGGTAATGCGTATCTATCAAAATTGCCGTGTAGATACCCACCTACCTACCTACCCACCTACCTACCTATACCAGAAAGAAAGAAATAAGCGAAGGGATACGAAAAAAAAAAAAAAAAAAAAAAAAAAAAAAAAAAAAAAAATAAACGGACTCAGATTCAAACCTAGCTAAGGTAATCGTCGGTTTCCTTAAATTTTAATTCGAAAGAATTGACCGACTTGCTGTAGCAAGTCGGCACCACCAAGGCGGGACACCCAGCAAGGCGGGACAGTAAAATTTGCTCTTTTTTAATAAATAGAAAATCAATCAACTATTATATAATAATTGTTTTTGTATCAAAAGATGCACCGTATTGAGTTTGATACTAATCAGTTAATCGAATTTTAATTCAAAGTTGTTATTCCTTTATTGTGTTGAGTTAAAGTAATAAAAATAGTACTTTTGATAATTTTTTTTTCGATTTTACTATTGAGTATATATCAGAATTGCCGCGTAAATACTAGAATAAGCGAGGAACACGAAAATCGGACTTTTATTTGAACCTATCAAAAGAATACGTGCATCACTACCAAATTTTATTCAATAAATAATACCTTTAGTGATATAATATATTAAATCATTTTTTCTCGATCTATGTGACGTTTTTTTGAATTAAGGTTGTGGTTATTAAGATATTTGCAATAAACAAGTAAATTTGAATTATTTAAGACAATTTTTGACTATTTTTTCATTACATTTCAATGTATTAGATCACTACAAATGAATGGATTTTTATAATTTTAATTCGAGTTTGTAAAGCAAAATTTCCTAAGCATATAAAGATTTTTTTTAAATTTTTTATAATAATAGTTGTTGTTTAATAAGTGGTATACCGTTACTGTCCCGCCTTGGTGGTGCCGACCTGGCGCAGCCAGGTCGGGATTTTTTACAAATTAAATTCAAGGTAACCGACGATTAGCTATCAAGAAAAAACGTGCATCATCACTTCCAACAATTTTTTTCTTTCCCCCTCAATAATTAACACCTTCAGCAATGATAATGTAGATTGAAGCATTTGTTTTTCGATCTGGGTGACGCTTTTCTTCTCATCAAGGTTTGTGGCTGTGAAGATACTCGCAGCAGACGAGTGGATGTAAATTATTCCAGACGGGCTTTGAGCGTTATTTTCATTACATTTTTAATGTATTATGATAATCAACAGAGATGAATGCATCTTTATATTTTTCAATTTACACTTGTAAAGCAAAGTTTTCTAAGCATATAAAGACCTTGGTTTTTTTTTTTTTTTTTTTTTTTTAAATATTTTTTAGATTAATAGTTGTTGTTTAGTAAGCGGTATACCCTTACGGTCCCGACCTGGCGGCGCAGCCCGGTCGGGAGTTTTTACAAATGAAATTCAAGGTAAACCCGACGATTTAGGAGGTGTGTTGATTGGTATAGGTACCTATCTGACGGACAAAAGTCATCAACCAACCCTAGATTCTCATCTCGTCATCTCCGCTCTTTCTTTCTCCGCTGAGGACATGGAGAAAAGGCATGATAATCAATCCTGCGAGCGGGCTAGCCAGGTAAACAAAACTAACCATCCATCCAGGTAGGCAGCAGGAGGTAGAAACGTAAACCCACCAGCGAACGAGTCCTTGCTCCCTACTTAATCTACCCATGCTTCTGTCCCATCGTGCGCAAGATCGCATCTTCCCAAAGTATAGTAAAAACATCAAACGGCAAAACACGGCTTGATTCCTCTGGGTAGTAGGTATTTTCTGGTATCATATCCATCCATCAATCGTTGCACCCTCCCATTGGAGCCCCACACAAGGAACTATCCTGCTGCCACAGCAAAATTCTGGTCGCTCTCCTTCGCCCTGATCATTTTTATACTCCAACGTTTCCTCCCTTCGTTCCCTTCCTTACACAAGTTCCAATCACCCACTATCGTCAAAATCATAGACATATTTTTTTTACTTTTTTTTTTACTTCGCCGCAGCCGCTCTATTCCGCAAGTTGCGCCCCTGCGCAGCAGTCTTCACAATTTGTTCTTTTGCTTTGGTCTTTGGGGTAGCCTTGGCTACAATAGGGCTCTTCACCTTAGATACAGTCTTGGCTCTCGCCGCTGGCTTCGCTTTCGTCGCTTTGGGGGTAGACGTGGCGGATGAGGACTTTGCGGTTGGTTTGCGAGCGCTTGTTCTTGAGGGAAGAGAGCGCTTTCTAGTCAAGGCGGGTGGTGTAGATTCGACTTCTTCCTCTTCATTTTCAGCTTCCTCCCGGGTCCCTTCCTCCGGTTCAGGTTCAGGTTCGGGTTCGGGTTCGGATTCGGGCCCAGGAGAGAGTGAAGAATCGGATTCTTCAGCCTCGGGTTCTGGTTCAGGTGGAGGAGCCTTTTCTTCCTTCTTGGGCTCCTCCTCCTCTTCCTCCTCGGCCTCCTCATCAACTTCCATCTCATCATCAACCTGTTCCGCATCCTTCTCATCCGCATCCGAATCCGAGTCAGGAGGAGCTGCGCCGTCAAGGTACTCCCACTGCGCAACACCCTCCAACATCTCCTGGTCGTCTTCACTTGAGTCACGGTCCACATACACCTTTTTTGCACTCGAGGCCGTCATACGGCCGCTCTTCCTCCTATCCACAGACGAATAATCAGGTGTGCTGAAGGCACCGGCAGGTTGTTTCCTAGGCTTTGGTGTCTTCTTCTCGCGGGCAGGCTTCTCCTTCTTCGCTACTGGGGTTTTGGCTGCGCGGGGCTGACGTTCGGACTTGAGCTTCTTAGGTGGGCGGCCATCGTTATCGTCGGATTTGCGTTTCTGCTTGGTCAGTATTTTAGACTTGTGCCCTAGGAATACTTTTGGGCGAGTAAGGGAACGACGCACCTTCTTCTGCTCAGCCTTCCGGACCAGACCGTCAAGAAGACGATCCATGTCTTCAGGCAGATAGCTCTTCTCCGCAATCTCCTGCGCAACGGCATGACTGGGGAGAGGAGCGAACAAACCTGCTGGCATACCAACTTTACCTGGATATACCTGCATATTCCATCCCTTCTTCTCTTCCCACTTCCGGATCAGTGTCGTGGCGAGATCACTGAGCATATAGAGGTTTTCGTCGTCTTTCGAAATTGCGTCTCGAGCTTGCTTCACACGCTCCGCGTACTTGTGTATTAATGCCAAGCTTTCATCTGAACACACTGTTGACAAGTAGAATATGATGTATTTGCCGATGTCAGCCAGCTCCTCAGGCTCGGTGCTGAAATCGGGGTGATGGGCCAGAAGGTGGAGGAGACGAGGGAAGAGTTGTTCAAAGACGGTGCTCTTGCTATCACGGCAGAGCTTGACACGAGAGCGAATCCACGTCATGATCGAGTTGCGGAAACTTGGAACAGGCTCGAAGGCGGTAATGAAGATGATGGTCGTAAATCTAGGAGGGAATTTACCTCTAACAATGTACTTCTGTAGCTTCTCGACAAAGCCACTACGGACACTTGCCAGGGTATCTTGAGCGACCAGTGCGAGACAATTGAACTCTTTGGGTGATAGTAGGTCATCGAACCTTTTCTGCTTGCACAACTTCAACATCTGCTGAGCAGCGAGGAGGCGTAGGCGGGACTTGTGGTGAGCCGGCGTATCATTATTCTTTGGTTGTAATTCTCCGCCCTTGGTGATCAGAGTGTTTATGACCTTGTAAATCGGTACAGCAAGCGTCTTCGCAGTATCGTCGTCTTCTGTCGTTCGCAGGCGGTTGACCAGGGTTCGAATAGCCCAGCATTTGGCTTGGATTTCATCGTCCAGTTCATCATCGGATTGCCACGGTGGGTCTTCTTCTGTCTTTGGAGTGCGAAATTGTAAGAGAATCTGTTGCGTAGTGACATCGATGATTTCGTCGTTCGCATCCTCTACCAGTTTTGGGTCAAGCAGGCACAGTTGACATATGGTGGCAATCTTCGCCAAGGAGTGATCCTCGCCGAAGGTCCAGTTGGTCAGGCATTTGTCCAGCAGATCCTTCATGTGCATCTCCTTTCTTGTCGAATTGATGGAATGCAGAACGGTAACCGCGTATTTCGCCGCTTTTGCTGGAGTTCCGTACATTGCATAACTGATTAAGGCCTGCGTGAACTTTGGTGTGGGATCTATGTCACTCTTCCCGTCCTTGCGCTCCTCCTTGGCAAAAGAGGCAAGAGCCCGAAGGGCATCGACACTGCCAGCGTCGTTTGCCTTCGTCTTTGTAGGGGCCTGCTCCTCGAGAGATTTGCACAATTCCGCGACACTAGCTTTGAAAATCTCGGGGTGCTTGTCCGATATCTCTTTCATGAGATCACGCGCAGTAGCCCCTAATCCATGCTCATCAGTTCTACCATACTGCAGAATGACCGGTTGGTGGCTACGGTTGTAGATCAGGGATGCGGAGCGGTAGATTATTGGCGTAAGAGTGTCGAGGAGGCCAGCTGGAGCGGTGGGTGCCGCAAGCATTTTCTTCTGGAACTCCTTGATTGCCTTGTAAACCATAGCAAAATCACTCTCAGGGGCCATAGCAAATCTCAGAAGCTGATAGGATCTCCGGTCGTGCATTTTGGCGTATTTCTGCAGTTCCTGAACGGTCCGCAGAGGGTCAGGCGATAGATCGGCAAGCCACTTGATGGTACTATCTAATTGCTTCTTGACTTCCTTCGCGTTGCCCTCGACAACGCCACCATTGAATTCTTCGCAGCGCTTCAGGAACATCTCGAGAACTTTCGAATAGGTTGATCGCCGGGACTGCATCGCGTAGAAGGCTTTCTTTGCCTTTTGGTCGAGAGACTTTATAACCAAAAGAATACGCTCCGTCCGAATTTTGTCAGGATCATACGGCCCATCTCCATTGGTTTGCGTTTGGGATTCTCCATTTGAAGCTTTTGACTTCTTCGATTTCGACGGTGGATAGGCGAGGGGGATCAGCTGCTCGTACGTGACTCTGTCGATTAAAACATTGACCTCGACGTCGTTCACATAGAGTGAAGCGAAGATCTTGTTAGGAATGCCTCCTAGAGCATCCATCACTATTTCGTTCTCATCGGCAATCTCGCCAGCAGCGACACCCCAGATTCTGCCAAGAGCTATCATGGCCTCCTCTCGCACGTTGTGCTTGCGGTCTCTCGCCCTATCCGCCAGGGTGCACAGGACGGATCCAGACTTTGTGACAGATCCGTTTGGCGCGAGCTTCGAAATAATGTCATGAAAGCTGAATCTGCTAACTGCCTTAACTGCTGCAAGACGAACCTTCTCGTCAGAATCAGACAGCTTCTCGCCCAGTCCTAACACCAAAGATGCTTCTTCGTCACGGCTCAGACCGATGCCTCCTGCCGATGTCACGAGGATGCGCCCGATGGCTGTAGTCCACGCTGACCGAATCACAGGAGATTTATCTTGCTTTCTTCCCATGAAGCTGTGATAGACGGTCGGATGGGTTTGGGCAAAAGATTGCGGAGAAATGGGAGTCGTGAGAATGCTGTCTGACATGGGGCCTTGAGGGTAGTCTTCCAGTCTGACAGGAGGGTAGGCAGCAGGATCCATGGAAGGAGGGGGAGGGGGCCCTGCAGCCCCAATACCAGAGATGATGTCGCCCAAGGTCTCAGTGGCCATGGTCCTCAACTGCACGTTATCGGCAGACAATTCTGCTTCCAGTTGAGGGATCACATTCTGCAAAACACCCGGCGATGCCCTCCATAGTTCTCGGAGAAGCTTATGAGCCTTTGAAAGTTCGTTTAATTCCGCCTCGGTTGGCCCAGTGGGAGTATCTTCGTCATCAGAGTCGCCCAGCGCATCACTCGTTCTTCTGTGGCCACTGGACTTATGTACAGCTCCGGCTGAAGCCTCCAAGATTACCTCGTTAAAGTACTGACTGATGTACCGCGCCATCTTCTCCGTACAAGTATTGCAAATCGTCTTGGCCATATTATATGCCTCCGGAAGGTCCTTCAGGAGCAGGGTAGTCTGCTTCTCATCAACTTCTTTCTTCTTCTTGCCATCCCCTGGTGTGGACGCTCTCAGGAACTGCGCAACGATAATGTCGACCACGTTCGCCGGTAAACTGTGCGCCTCGTCCACCAAAGTCACCAAAATTTGGGTCATGTTGAATTCGACATCTTTGGCAATGGTCTCTCCCGTAGAAGCCTTGGTGCTACCCGAGATCATATCGAAAAAATTGTTGAAAAGATAGAGGATCAAGGCGTCTGAGTTTTGGATGTCGCATAGCAGAACAATGCTCTTGACCTCCGACAAGGAAGCCAAGACATATTTATGCTGAGAGTTGTAGGTATGTGATGGATCGGAGAGGGCGGGAAGGATCGATGTGACAAAGAGCGTGAAGATATCCTGTTCATGTTAGCTGTATACTTCCTGGCAGGCCGCGGCTCCGTCCGTACCTTGAGCTGGGTCGGGGTAAAAGGCGCGTCTGGAGCGCAGAGCTTCAGCACATCCACTAAGCAGCACGCTGCGAATGCGCGTACGCCTTTATCCTTATGCCCCAGCAGTTGCTGACCCGCGAGTTCCTTTGCGACCTTGGCGAACGAGTCCTTGTCTATCGCATCCTGGTCCATCTCCTGTAACTCGTGGGACAGCGTATCGAGCCTCTTCAGAAGCTCCCCCGTTGCAATCGGCTTGCCAGCTCGCCATGATAGTGGTTCGTTGAAGGTCAGGCTGTCCAGCTCCAGCTCCTGCTCCTCCTGATCATGCTCCTCGACCTCGACCTCAGGCTCGGGCTCGATTTCCGCACGGCGCCGCGGGCCCATTTTGAATTCAACGGGAGACCCCAGTCGCGGAATACGAAGGGTTGGAACGGAGGTGTTGGTGGTTGGAATTGGTCGTTGTTGTCGGGGTTGTTCGCGTTCTGGGAGGGGACGGGTAGGTACGTGGTGGTGTTATCAGGATTTCGCGTCACACACCCAACACATGGACTTGTCTAGGTCGTACAGGAGGGCGCTGGACTCGGAGACGCGTTCGAGACTTGGCGCTGGACGAAGTCTAATCTAATATAATGTTGACCTAAATGTTGAGCTAAATGTGGATCCTGTAAACTGTTAAAAATACGGTCATCTGACCTACGGTTATTACGTTGATTGGGTGCATCCATCTGAGCTTGGGCTATCGAGAGTCACTAAAAACTGATTAATCGCTTACTAATCAGAAAAAAAGGGAATCTTGCGGGTTTAGTAAGCTGGATTTGCACTCTTGCAATCGAAATCCACCTCTTGCGGTTAAGAATTACAAATTATAAACTCTTCACCTCCCGAATACTTGATTAATAGCGAACTAACAACAGCAAGAGAAATGCTCGAAAAAATGCTTGCTGCATCGTCCTAAGAGGGGCTATTGCTACAGATAAAATGCATCGCGCTAAAAGAAGCTATCACGGTAGATTATATAGCGACGAATATGACACCGCGAAACCCGGAAAACTGCCGGCGCTCCGCAAGCTTCGAGATAAATTTCAGCTTGCGGCCGGGCTGAAGCGTTACATTCTCTTTACATCCTTTTAAAGCATATTTCTTATAGAAAGTTGATGTAACGTTAGTGCGGAAGGCAGCCTTGCTTCTTTCTGTCGGCAAACACTCACCACTGTCTATTGCCTATATCTTTGCTTTGTTGCCTTGCTTCATTCCTTACTACCAGGCATCTCTCATCATGCCCATTTTTCTGCATGCAATACATGTGCAAAGCATCTGCGTAGAATGTATGCGGATACAAATAATTGTATGGAGTTCTCGTTCTCCCCTCTACCCGCTCCACAAAAACTCGCACGTGCAAGACCCCTGTGTTGGTTTCCCCCCTATTTTGGCGAGACATTCAAAACATTGAAATTTGCAGAAGGCCAAGTTCACCAACAAATGCTGCTCTCCTCAGCACTAGATGGCGCATATTTGCTATGGTGTGCAGCTTACCTGTTAGACGTCGTGCAAATGCTTTTGTTTCATTCCTTATGGTTGGCTCAAACATCCATATTTGGGATGCTAATAGTAATGGCTTGACAGACAATTGCAGTCACAACAAGCCTTTCTCATCAGATGTATTTTGAACAGTGACTCAAGTCCCAGGCGGGACGGCCCGTTTCGGAGATTCATTCCCTGGTGAAGATGTTGTTCCCTTTTCACTTCTCACTTTACTTGATAAAATTCACCTACCCAACGGCAGAATTTGGAAGTACCGTAGCTCTCTTTTCTCCATGACCTCCCCTCTCTTTCGAAGATAACGACCACTCTAGATCGACTCCAAAAACAAAACCTCGAGGCTTTGTTCCCCGCATCTGCTTTCCTCCCACATACTTTCCACACGAGCTGGCTTTTACCTTGACTCACACGCGTCTATTTCTCACCACACCTAGGGCCAGGTCCAACCACACTTGAGAACAAACTCTGCAACAGGCAGTTGACCAAGATGAAGTCCTCTTTTGGAGCATGGTCCCTGCTGGCAGTTTGCTGTCTCATGTGCTCCTTGGTTAATTCCCAAGTCCAAGAAAACGGTATGTATCTTTCTGTCACTATCAGTCCCAAGGTCCCACCACTGATCATTGTCTTGCAGACCTCACCTCTGATCCCACCCCGATAATCGCACAAGTCACTATGCCGGCAGTGGTCACTACAATCAAAGCTTTAACAACCTTGTTCGCAACCCGTTCTGATGGAGTTGGAACCGCAATCCCTACTATAGACGTTGTCATAACCTTGACCCCGGCTCGCACAGTTGCTGATGAGACCAAGACCGGTTCGTCGTATGTATACACCATCCACTTCTGCTAGATTTACATTTTTAACGAAGATATAGGCCCCCTTCCCTTCCCATCTCTCAAAGTCAAGTCAATGGAGAAACCTTCGCAGTTACCGAACGCATAACTGCGACGGTTTCTGGCATCTCAATCCTGACGCTGCTCACCACAGCCTCAGATTCGGTGGCGACGATACATCCAGGTACAGGTCTGACAGCTACACTAGGGCCCATCTCTATTCCCCAGGCGACCGGCACATCCCAAGCTCACGTTGTCCCATCGGCTAGCGGCTTCAAGTATTTAGGATGCTACACGGAAGCAGATAATCGGGCTCTGGCAGGAGCGTCTTTTCCCGATGATTCGAATACCGTCAAGAAATGCGCTGCCAATTGCGCCCGGTTCAAGTATGCCGGTGTCGAGTATGGCCGAGAATGTAAGTTCGCGCTGTCCATGCACCATGAAGTGAAATACTAATGGAGTAGGCTACTGCAGTGATACCCTCAAATCAGGATCCACGGCTGCTTCCGAGAACGAATGCAACATGGCTTGCGGTATGTAATGGAAAGGCTCTTTTGTGTACCTCAGCATATCCTCTCCTCTCCTCGACCTTTCTTGATGTGGCAGTTACTGATCCCCAGTGCTCTAAAGGTGGGAACAGTCTAGAACTGTGCGGAGGCTCTGTGAGATTGAATGTTTACATTCGAGAGGAGGACTGGTCGTCACCCTCTGTCACTTCCCCAGCCACTTTAACAATCGAGAGTGCCGCTACTCCAAGTCTCTCAACATCACCAGGCATGTCTCTTTCGGCAAGTAACTCCTCAAAAACGCTGACCCTTCTGCCCTCAGGGATTTCCCCAGCGACCACAGTCACAATACCCATTTCTAACCCGCAAATCTTAGCCGCCTTGGCCATTTCACCTCCTCTACCGGCTACTCCATCGAGCGCTCAAGTCACTTCGACGATTAATCTCAGTTCCGCTCCAGAGAATCCCACGTCGGTCATTGTGAACCACGACACTACGGCGACGAGAACCAGCTTCGTGACCACGACTCACACGTTTACGACGACTCGATCGAACGCGCCAATTCAAACTTCATCCCCGCTGTCCTCATCACCCGATTTTGCAAGAACCACCGCATGGTCTTCCTACCTAAGCGACACCTACCCAGTCCTGTCGCGTCCAACCATCCCAATCCCAATCTTCACACCAAATTCCCTGATGTGCCTCTCGACCAACGCCACCCAGCACCCAGCAGATACTGCCACCCCTCCAGCAACCTCCCTCTCCTCCGTCTCCGTCTCCGTCTCCGTCTCCGTCCCCCCCAGCTCCGCTCTCCCCTCCCCCAGCCCCAAGTCCACGCCCGCATCCCCAGGTTCAGCAGCACCACCAGCGACGAACAACGCGTCAATCACGAGCACCTCGGCGACGAACAACGCCTCAACCGTGCGCATCACGACGATCCGGCGGCCGGGACCAGGTCTAGGGCCAAGCGGCACCCGCAGCACAGCCTCGCCTGGGCCAGTATCGAGAGACCTTCAGGGGAGGAGAGCAGGCGCGCTTCTGGTGTGCGTCGTGGCTGTGATGATGGTCTTTGCTTTTTGATCTGGAAGGAGGGAGGGAGGGAGGCGTTGATGTGGAGTAGATGAATGGATGGATGGATGGATTGATAGAGGGCCCGGGTATGTTGTGAGCAGGCCCAGACGGAGGGTATTTCCATTTGCTTGAGATCCGTATCCGAATGGGTGGGATGGGGATGGGGATGTGGACGGGGTTGAGGATGACTTGAGTGGGCCCGGCTCGCTACCAGATGGATAGATGGATGCATGGAAGGGATCATATCATCGCCTGTCAAGCTGCCTTCACCTCTCTCCCCCCAACGCGAACACACGCATCACCAGCTAGCAACATGCACACGTAGACAGACAGACAGACAATAAGCGATAATTTTCCCCTGCTTCAAAAGCGCTGCACCGAACAATCACATCTCAAGCCTCTCCCTTACACATCCATTTTTTTTTTTTTTAAAAAGATTCATTTCCAAGAGCCGTCACGGGTATTTCAGGAGGGAAAGCCGAGGGGTGGATGAGTAGTGGGTACTCAGTCCTCCCCTCCCCCTCCCTCCCTCCCTCCTCTCTCTCTCTCTCTCTCTCTCCCTCTCTGAAAGTTGGAAGTTGATTTTCGGAGCTGTCAAGTCCGCCCTCACGTCAAGGTGCTAATTTATATACTGGCTGTGTGTACTTACTGACTGTGTGCACTATCGTAACGCTACCGTTAAAAAAATTAAAAAATTAAAAAATTAATTCAGTCTAGAGTCTCAACTTCGGCACGAAGGAGCTTACTAGGAAAAAAATAAAAAATAAAAAATAGAGAGAGACAGAGAAAGCCAGAGAGAGAAAGAAAGCCAACCGAAATCACGTACCAGCCATAGACCAGAAGCAGCCACATCCCGCCCGCAAGATATGACATGGCAGAGACAGACAGACAGACAGACAGACAGCAAGTCAAGTCAAGTCGGCCGCCGTCCTAACCCAACCAACTGGCTGATCCCTACCTACTACCTAGCGAGGAGGTGGATTGTTCTTTTGTTTACATTATATATATATATATATATAAGCGTAGTTTTCTCGTCTCGAGTCGCTTAGCTGTGTGAGTTCTGTGGCGAGATGATGGGTGTGACTAGGAAGCAGTAGGAAGCAGTAGGAAGCAGTAGGAGAGAGGAAGCAGTAGGAGAGCCGTGGTATTCGTGGGTATCTAGATAGTCATTTATCATCGACGGCATATGTCCCATCTCGCCCCCCCCCCCTCCCAAAAGGAAAAAGTTAACTTTTCTGAATTCCAGGCCGTCATCGGGCGGAGCCGGTCCGAGCGCCGAAATAAATATAATATGATAATGATGGAGAGAAAGAGCTCATTAGCTAGCTAGCTAGCTCTTTTTTTTCTTTAAAAAAAAACAATCTTTTCATCGTCCAAACTGCTTGCGCTCCCAGAATCTCAATGGGATGTAGGTAAGGGCAGCGAAAGCAAAGGCCAACTCGAAGCCCACGTCTCCACCGGAGCCGGTCCCGCAGAGCTTTCCCACGGGCCCGACGAACCACACCTGCGCCATGCCGAGAACGGCTCCCATGGCGCCGAACGAGAAGGCGACGACAGCGGCGAGGCCAGGAGGGAGTCGCGTGGCATCCGTGTAGACGGCAGGGTCGTAGCCGGCGAAGCCGCGCCTGAAGAGGACGTGCTCGGGGATGGAGATGCCCTCGTAGATGGCGAGCCAGTAGGCGATCAGCAGCATGAAGTTCTCGAGGACGTTCTCGAAGTGTCCGTATCCGGGGATGGCGACGGCGCAGTAGACCAGGGTCCCGAGGAAGGTCCAGGCGAAGCGGGGGACGCGCTGGGAGCGCTTGGCCAGGAGCTGGAGGGTGAGGCCGACGGAGTAGATGTTTGGGCAGTTGTTGGCGATGATGGAGAGCGCGAGGACGACGAGGCAGAACTGGCCGAATGTGCCCAGGGGCGGGACGAGGACGGCCGCGAGGAGACCGCCGATGTGCGATGCGTGGTAGCCTTCCATGTAGATGTTGTCCCCGTCGTTGGCCGCCATGGCGGTGGCAACGGCCGCGCCGAGCATCTCCGTAAAGAGGAGCGGGAAAGCGAGACCGACGTACGTCCAGCAGAAGATCGACGTGCGGCGACGATCCACCGGTTGGTACACGGTGTAATCGGCGGCGTAGGAGGTCCAGCCAGTGGCAAAACCAAAGACCGAAGCGGCGAAAGAGAGAGCCGATCCAGCTTCGGCAAGCCCGACGCCCATGGGGATGTTCTCGAAGCGGCCCGAGTGGGCGAACTCGCCGAGCACAATCATGAAGATGATAAAGCAGGGGATCCACGAGTATCTCTCGTACGTGTGGACGATCTTGTAGCCGAACAGGGTCACTAGGAAGGTGGCAGCGGCGATGACGATGATTCCCGCCCATCCAGGCATGGAGGGATTCACGGCGTGGAGTAGTTGAGCTCCGACAATGACATTGACGGCTGACCAGCCGACACAGGCGAGTACGTTGAGAACCGCGACGATTTTGACGCCATAGAACTTGAGAGATTTAGTACCACGTTTCCCTCGGGCAAGATAGGATCAAGACTTACCCCGAAGAAATAACGGGACAGAACCATCTGTCTCAGACCAAAGCGAGGTCCGAAAGTGCTGAAGAAAGCGACAGGAGTTATACCGAGAAGGTTGACGAAGAGGATGATCAGAATGGTGTCGATGAAGCCGAGATGGAAAACAGGATACGCCAGCGCTCCAATGGCGAAGGACGAGACGACCATGTTTGCTGAGAGCCACATGGTGCCGACTTGACTGACTGGGGCGTTGGAGCGCTCATGGCTGGGCACTCTTTCAATCCCTCGCTGTTCCACGCCAAACTTGCCGGCAAGTCGCTGCGTTTTTGCATACCAAGAGTCTCCAAGTGCAAGAGTGTCGACGGCGACTGCTCCTTGATCATCAGGAGTATGGTCGGTGCTGTTGTCGATTGATTTCTCGCCGGCCTCGATATCATCTTTGGCATTAAATAGGCTCATTCTAAAGGAAGTACAATAGAGCGAGTGTGTTTGCTTGGAAAGATTGCAAAGAGATATTCTCGGGCTGGTTACTCCAGCTATATAGATCAGAAGGTTAAGCTCGACACTCGTACGCCTTATACTACACATTGGCAGGATAGGACTCGGTACTATATACATGAAAAAACGGTGATAGCTGTTGAGTACCACTCGAGTAGGGATCAGCGACCAGGGCAGCTCTCGAGGGAAGCTTACCCAAACTCCGGACGACGGTGAGCGGACGACGCCGAGGTAGATGTTGGTGGCGGTGGGTCCCACGCATATAGATATCTCAGACTGGAGGGATGGGAGTGAAAATCTCGTCCATGTCGCGCATCATGTCGATATGATCCATAGTTATATATTATGCCACGATCTCTCTCCATGCAAGCTTGCCGTCCGCGACAAGCAAGACCAAGCCTTTGCTTGTCTCTGGAGCAAAGTCTGGGAATGCCCGCATGCATCTTGAACCGGGTTTGATGGGGTTCGGTTCGTGGCTACCTATGAAAGCCTACGTGCATATGTGCATGTATGTGTAGGAGGGATAGATAGATATGCCGACCTTCTTCTCGGCGGTCGACGAGTAAGAAAAGATCAGCGAAGCGCCGATGACAACAACCGCCCCGCTCTCGCTTGAGGAGGCAGCCAAGCCCCTGAATGCCATTCAATTCAACATGCGTGCATACAAGATTGAGTCGCACAAATCCTCAAATGCTACTGTATTGTCTTTTCTACATGAGACTTCCTCTATGGAGACCAATGTGCACATAGATACTCCTAGGGATTCGACACCGCATCTCTCTGGTTCTCTCTCGAAATATCCTGCCGATCAATCAACCAGGGGCTGGGAAGGCAGCGGCAACGTCAGGTTTTGCTTTTAAGTGGCGTTCAGAATCGCCCGAAGAACGTTTTAAGAGAGAGAGAGAGAAAAAGAGTACACTTCACTAGCAGAGACATCAATTCCTCACACTCCTTTACATCAAATCTTCCAGTCTTTACCAATCAAAATGGGATCAACCTAAAATATAGCTATCTCCAGGTAACTATTTGCCTAACTCTCAGTCCGAGAGGCAAACCAGAAGGCATTGCCGTATCTCGAAGGGGCGCTATTGGAGACTTACTGCTGCGAGTTCTCGTTTCTGCGACCGAGAAGCGCCGACAAATGAGATCGCCAGCTGTCATGCAGACATCCCGCTGCCGGTAGTTGATTTCGGACCACATCCGTTATACTCCGTATGATTCTGTTTCGATATATATGGACCATCTCTATGACTCGCAACCCGAAGAATGAGGATCCGCGGGCTCACCGCAACAATAATGGTGCATTCGATCGGGAGATGGCGGGGAGCCGCATATATAATTCGTGCTGTCACTTCTCGCATTGTTACTCCCTGCATGCTTCGACGCGTAGATCTCTCTGTCGGGCAAGTCTATTATGAAGCAGGAGAAAGCCCTAGGCCCCTCGAATTTTCTTCGAACAACACCATATGCGATCGAGTCTCATAGTGTCTTTCCCCTCGGCCGATCAGACTAGCCTCTCTCAGAGCTTCTTGCTCAGAATCCAATCCGTCTGAACACACTCCCCCATGACGAACTCGTGACTCCCGATCTTCCCATACCCGAACTTCTCGTAGACCTTTTGCGCCTTGAAGTTCTCCTCCCACACCCCCAGCCACATGGTCACGAATCCCTGCTCCCTGGCCATCTCCTCGACCCTCGCGGCCAGCTTCCTCCCGACGCCAGCACCGTGGTAGTGCTCGGAGATGTACAGCCTCTGCAGCTCTATGGGCTTCTCCATGCCTGCCAGGCACGGCTCGGTGGTGCCTCGCGTCAGTTGGCAGAAGCCTACCACCTGATCGAGGGAGACGTCGACTGCGACGATGGTATCGATATCCGGGTTGGCCACCTCGGATGCGATGGCTGAGTGGTTGTATGTTGTTTGGAGGTAACTGTCTAGGTCGGCGGGTGGCATCGAGTGCCCGAAAGTGGCGGCAAAGACGCCGCCACCGATCGCGATGATGGCTTCGACATCTTTGGCTTCAGCTCTCCGGAGCATAACCTCGACTTTCGAGGATGTGGTCGTTCTTGACATCTTGAACGGCGAGTGCCTTTGACAATTGGGAGAGCCTGTTTAAGCTGGAATATTTGAGAGTAGAGAGACTGCGTTCTGATATGTCGGCTCGGATTTACAATTAGCAGTTATACAAACGAGAATTGGTTCCATCAGGACTCACAGGACAAGATCCTGCATACCGGCAGACCACTATCTATCTCAACACATAGTATTGCAACGTAGAAGTCCTTTGATCTCAAGATTATTCTGACATTAGGTTAACGAGGCCCGAAATTGGACGTCGCACCCGAAGTCCCAAGTCCGACTCGAGCTGCAAAGAAACGGATTTAGTCTTGCCATCCACCGCCGAACATCTTTATCATTTACTTGACATCTTGCAAAGATTTCTCATATTAGATGAAGTCTAAATTTGGATTTCAATAACAAACCCGTCCTTGTATCCCCACCATGTATCTCCGGACGGTACACACAGACCTCCACCTCCCGACGCTCTACGCCTTCATCCGCAGCAACCCCCTCGGCATCCTCACCACGTCCCTCCCCATCACCCAACTTCCACACCATCCAAAGCTGCCACATCCCCTGGGTCCTCGACGCTCCCAGCGAAGATGAAGAAGCCACCTCGTCCTCCCTAAAGGGCTCCAAGGGGAGACTACGCGGCCACATCGCCCGCGCCAACCCTCAAAGCCAAAGCTCTCGTCGAAGCCGCCTGCAACAGCAGCAGTAATAGCAGCAACGGCCAAGTAGCACCCTCCAACACCCTACCGCAAGAGACCATAATCCTCTTCAACGGTCCAGCGCCCCACTACGTGACGCCCAAATTCTACGTCGCGATGAAACCCGACACGGGGAAGGTCGTGCCCACGTGGGACTACAGCGCGGTGCAGGTCTACGGCACGGCGACGATCCACCTCGACACCTCGCTGCCGGCGACAAGGACCTTCCTCGCGACGCAGCTCGACGATCTGTCGCGGCAGAGCGAGGAGCGCGTGCTTGGTTTCACGGGGACGGGCGGGGCGGGGCGGCCCGGGCGTGGAGCGTGGACGAGGCGCCCGCGAGCTACGTGAGCGTGTTGAAGAAGGGCATCGTCGGGATTCGAGATTGCGATTGCGGAGATCGGAGGGAAGTTCAAGATGAGTCAGGAGTTGAAGGAGGGGGATCGGGAGGGTGTTTGTTGTTGAGGGCTTTACGAGGCTGGGTACGGATGATGGGGAGGAGATTTCGAGGACGGCCAGACAGAGAGGGGGCGGAGGAGGAGGGGGAGGTCTCGAAAAGCAAAGACTAGATAGCAGTGGTGCGTGTAGGAAATCCGCCACCTCGAGTTTGAACCGTCCTGTTTTTGGCTGCTGTCTACCATGCGGGTGCGCAGGCCAGGTGTTGAAGGGCTAGCAAGTCGATGAGATGGGGCATCTCCGTACCTACAGTGCAGTATTCACGCGCGCTCGCATTTTAACATTCAAAATCGAAGGCAATACCCAGGCATTACATACAGTCCACAAGACGATCTGCTCAATCGGCGTTGTACTTGTATATAAACAGACAGCCGACTCAGGACAGGACGCAAGCCTTGCACGCCTAACTATCGTGCAATAAATACTGTTTGTTACTGCAAACACGAACATCCCCGACCTTTTTCCTCCCTCCCTCTCCTCCCTCGCTTAATTGTTTACCCTCCCATGACACCGATCTCGCGTAACCCCCCCTTTAGAAAAGAAAGAAAGAAAAAGTCTCCCAACAACCACCCATTCTCGCATAGCAGACACCTCTCTCCCCATCCCCCATCCTCCATCCCCAAAACCTCCCAATCCCCAGAAATCTTTCTGTACGGCTCGCTAGCCAGCCAGCCGAGCTTAAGCTTTCCCACCTCTTCCTCCCCCCCTCTCCTCCAAAACAACTTCACTCCACTCCACTCCACTCCACTCCACTCCAATCTATCTATACCCACACCTACCCCAAGGCCCAAGCCAAAGAACGACACTCTTCCTGTTGGTTACCTGACCATACCCTTTCGCGCCAAGTTTTGCCCGAACCACGTCCACGCACGGAGAGAGTACCCGGTACTTTGCCTGGGTACGCCTAGGCCTGGAGATCTCCAGGCTCGTTCCTTCCTTTCCTTCTGTGCTGTGCTTACTGTGCTTACTTGCTTACTTGCTCACTTGCTCACTTGCTCACTTACTTACTTACTTAGCATACTAGGCGTAAGAGAGTAAGAGAGTAAGAGAGTAAGCAGGAGCAAGAGCAAGAGCAAAAGCAAAAGCATCAGAGAGAAAGGTCCTACCTAGGACGACGGGTCCCTTCCCTCCTTCCCTCCTTCAATTATCCCACAAACACACACACAGAGACACCAAAAGATAAAGAAAAAAATAAAAATAAGAAAATGGTCTCGGTACGAGATTTGAGTTTTTTTTTTCTTCTTCAAAAACAGGTTCCGCCGGTCGGTTATTAACCAAACCAAACCAACCCATAACCCAACCCGTTCCATTCCATTCATTCATTGAGAAAAAAGAATCGCCACCCTTCCCATCCTCCTCCTCCTCCTCCTCTTTCTTCCCCATTTTCCACCCCCGCTAACCTCGCCGCCCACTTGCAGAGCTCATTCAGGTCGCGGGTTATTAAAAAATACAGCAGAGAGATAAAAATAGACAGGTGGGCAACCAACCATCCTAGCTCCCACTTCCCATCTCAATAACCAGAACCGGAAAAGTAGAAAAAAGAAGGGGGGAGCATGTGAGGGTATGATGAAGGAAGACAAAACAGACAATCCCACGTGTTCTCATGCTCATGCCCTCCCAAAATTTTTGAGCTCGTGCCCACGTCCTATACGTGCACCCATTCGCCTGATATCAAAAGAATCCCTGATGCAAGAAGAGGAGAAACAAAGAATTAACTTAAAAGACATATGCAAGGGAGGGTCTACGGAGGCAGAAGTAATGTCAACGCTATGCAGAGCAAAAAAGAAAAAGGGAAACATCTAAGGCGTTCGAAAAATTAGGTACCAAGCATGCATCATTCGTCATGAGAAATCATCATCACCGTTGCGGCCACCGTCACAATTATCCACGCGCATCACGAGCTCCTTCGTCTCCCGCGCAATCTCAAACGCAATCGGCGGCAGCGACTGGTTCCACGCTCTCCAAGCAGTCTCAACTTCACCGTCGTCTCTGTCATCGTCTGCGATCTCGCGTCCCATCTTGCCGGCGTCTATGAGCCGCTCTCTGATGCCGGCAAGTTTACGGACGATGGGCTCGGCTTGATTCCGCAGCGAGCCGTTGCCGGTTGAGGACATGGCGGTTTCGGTCGAGGACACGACTGTGCCGACAACGTCGACGATGGCGTTAATTTGCACCGAGATGGCGTCTATACTGCCTTCGGAGCGGATCGAGGAGACGAGGGACTGAATGCTCTGCACTAAAAGAGCGGTCTGGTCTTCAAGGTAGATCTAGAACTGTCAATAACGGATCAATTCAAGCACTGGGGTTGGGTCTTACCTTCAACTCTTCCACATTACTTTCTGTGGTCGTAATGCCAAATCCGGCTTCCAGGGGTGCTGGGGGAAGAGGCTTGCTACCAGCATTGCTAGCACTGTTCAGAAAGCCATTGCCATTCTGTGAGCTTCGAGACATCGTTCGTTGCCGTACTGCCCAAGACTCCCTTCCGGAACTTTTCATTCTCAAAGTCGAATCCAAAGGAGAGTAGACGGGGCTATACATCGACGAATCCATACTTACCCGGCCGGGGCCTTGGAAGGGTGCTGAAATGTTATTGCTCTTGGTGGTCTCCTGTAGAACATCACGGACAGGGAAAAAGCCTGTGGTATCGACAGGCGCGAGGTTTCCATCATCATCATCCTCTAATTCGCCCGCTGGCGTCGGGCGAATCTTGACTGTGCGAACAAGCTCTACAACAGCAGAAGTAAGATGAGAAGCTGCAGCGTCAAGTAAAGACACAGGAGACAGGCCCTTGGCAGCAGCAAAATTCTTAGATGCTGTGATTAGATTGTTTGCCGTCGCTGAGACCCTGGACTTCAACTTCGTCTGCTGTTGAGCCATTTCCTCGCTACTATTAGGAGCCTCATCAATGTCTTGTGTGATTCTCCGCACATTCACGATGACAGACTTCATAAACTCCATCACCCTCGCTGGATCATCCACCCTCGCCGTCTTCAGGAGCTCGTCTATTGAAATCTGGAATTTGGTAACGTGGACGTCCTTGACCATTCCGTTCGCTTCGGTGAAACCATTTTCCTTGGCATATCTTGCTGCGTCTTGTTGAATAGTGAGACCGATCGAGGACGCTCTCAGACTTCTGAGCTGGGTCTTGGTCCTGGCGTAACGATTCCTCCAATCCTTGACCTCCTCTTCTAATTTGTTGACCGTATTTGACAATTGCTCTTCTCTGTCATAAGAGGATTCGCTTCTCTCTGAAAGGATGCGCATTTCTCGCAGGAACTCTTGGGCTTCTCTGCGAACCTCGTCTGTGACTATCTGTTGTCCTTTGAGCTCCGCCCTAAGCTCTTCATTTTCTCTTTCGAGATCCTCATCGGTCATCTCTTTTGAAACGGCTCCTGCAGCTTGTAGCTCCTCGATCTGCGCTCGCAATTCCCTCTCGTTGCTTGCGTGCTGTCCTCTCGATGCAGCTACTGCAGCTTGCAGCTCCTCAATCTGAGCCCTCAGTTCTCTCTCGGTATTGGCTTGCTGTCCTTTCGATCCTGCCCCTGCTGCTCGCATCTCCTCAATTTGGGCGCGAAGATCCCTCTCCGTATTTGCTGATTCGGCCCTCATTCGATCCAGTTCCGATTGAAGAGACTCGTTGAGATTTTGGGCATCTGCAAGCTTACTTTCCAGATTCATCTTCAAAACCAAGAATTCCTGCTTTTCCATTTCGACTACGTTGGCTCGACTTCTTTCACCATCCAGAACACTATTCAACTCATCGTCTTTGAGTTTGAGGGAATCTTCCATAGAATCAAGCTTTTCCCTCAGTTCCGCAACCTGTGATTGGTAGTCGTCGATGAGCTTTTTGTCAGTCTAGAAATCATATCAATTAGCTTTTACTCGGAGCAGGAAAAAGTGAGCATACATCTGACGAGCCACCAGTACTCTTCTTGCTATCCCTAGTTCGCGCTGCACCCTCCAGCCCAAATGCATCTGGGTAATCATCATCATTATCTTCCCCTCCAGTCTCGTCGTCTTCCACCATAGTGCTCTTGTTTGGCACTATGGTATTACTTTGAAACTGCTTTGGAGTCGGTCGACTGTAATCGTTCGGAGGCATTCCAGGTGAATGTGGTACGCCCAGCCCTCCGTTCATCCCTCCATTCATTGGGCGTGGTCCACCCCGAGAATCGCTTCTAACAGAGAAACCCGACACAGACGTTGCATCTGACGGCCTGCGCATGCGAGGCATCCCATTGACGGGAGTTCCATTTCCATTCCTACTAGGTGGGCCTCTCATGGAAGAAGCAGGACTGTCCATCCGACTTATGTTGTCACCTGCGAACCGAGGAAACCTTCTCTCCAGCTCGTAGAATACATCTGTCGCAAGATCACGGAACCTGGATGGCGGTAAGGTCGACAGCTTCTGTCTGGCTTGGTTCCGCTTCGGATGGAATATATCTTTCGGTAAGAGATATGGCGGAGGTCCTCCAACAGGGGCTGCTCCGTTTGGTGTCCTCCTCCCACTCTGTTGTCTCCGCAGAAGCTCGTCGAACACATCCGTACTCAATTCTTGGAATTGAACAGGCGACAGCCGTAGTAACTTGTCCCGCGCTCTATTTGGTCGAGGGTTCACCTTTTCGTCGCGCAGCGACTGGGCGAGATATCTCCTGAGTGCGACATAATGTTCCGACAGCGCGCTCTCAAACTGCTCGTCCTTCCTACTCCTCCCACTCTCGCTCTGTGCGTATAGACCGTTTCCACCACTGGATCTCGCAATCGAACTCGGTGGTGAAGGTGCCCCCCCCGGACCATTACCCATCGGCGGTCCTCTGGGAGGGTAGCCGCCTCCATTCATGGCGCCGGTCGAGCCACCCGATAACGGCGGTGAAGCCAGCTGTCCACGTTGGGTTGTTGGGGGATAGGGCGAATCTTTATCGTTTCTTTGGTACTTCGAGATACCGGACCACTCGCTGTCTCCTACACTGACCGGCGACATGGGGCCGTTCCGGCCATTCATTGTAGGGCTTGTCAAAATATGCTGTGTCTGGGCCCTTTCAGGAATCCTTGATCGCGGTTGTACTCCTCTGCAATCCAGACGGATCCTACGCGATTACGATAGCAATTATCCCGGCTTCGAAAAGCAAAATCCCGAGAGGACCAGGAAGAGCGATTGCAAATCTGCCTCAGGATGCAACGACTTGGTCCTTGAAACGTCAACGGCGTAGGCCGGCAGTGTTGGGTGTCAAAGCGAGCCGGTTCAACGCGTGCGTGTCGTGTCGTGTCGTGTCGTGGATCGAGGTAAGGCGTTTACAGTACGGTGCAGTCCAGTACTGGTCGGGTCGTCGTGATTTGGAATGGATGGATGGCGGGTAGGGTGGTGGTGGTGGTGGTGGTGCTGGTGCTGGTGCTGGTGGTAGTACTAGTAGGCAATAAAGGTAAGGACCGTTGGACTGTAGATGTTGCACAGCGGGCAATGACAACGCGATGTGATGCGATGCGATCGATGATTTGGTGGGATGGAGAAAAAAGGATTGGGACGAGCAATCGCCATGAGCCTGGAAATGGAAAGGGGGCTAGGGGGCTGGCTGGTTCTGGCTCTGGCTCTGGCTCTGGCTCTGGATCGGGATGTTCTACTTGGACTTACCGGTACCGGTATCTAGCTCCTCATTCGCTCCCCCTTGGATGGCGGGCCTGGCCAAGTTGGGCTCACAGACAGCGCGTAAATTAATTGGCTTTCCCGGTAGACATAGACAGAGATTACGTATCCTGGGTTCGTGTATCTGTATATATCTGTACTACTATATATCTGCATATACCTAGTATGTGCTAATTATGCTCTTCCACGGGACGGGAAATACAAAGCTTCTATATTCCAAATCTCGATTCGCCGTGTTATTTAGGTAATCAAATGCCACAAGGTGCTCGCCCGACCTGGAGCCGAGCCGAACCGAGCGGCACTTTCGGGGATTATCATAAATAAAATAGTTCTGGCCGGACGGTCCTCCCGGGTTGGTACTTGTACCTTTAATATCTTTAGCGTAGCACTTATCTAAATCTGTCTCGACCGTTTTTTTTTAATCGCGGTAGATTAGAGCGGTATGCTGAGATGCCTTATTACCAACTTGACGGGCTACGGAGAAAGTCCTGCGATGAGATGGTTTCGCGCCGTTTGTCTGGGGTCTTGCTTGCTCAACCGCCGCCCTTTTGGAAGATCACGGGCCTGATCGCTCAGTCGCCAACTCAGAGGTACTATCTGGATGTTTCAATACTAAAGGATATTGTGCTGCGCCTGTCAAGATCTGATCCGGGTCAAATTGTGGATACTCTACACGAGAGCTATGTTGCACCTCATTCCTCCACGTGAGGCTAACTATTCCTTGGTATAGATCGTCGAGGCGTTGTTCGACTTCTTGGTCTGGGGTAGTTCCTGACGCAGTCTCTCCCAGAAAACGCCTCCATTGGGTATCCTTTCCTCAACGCCAGTCATTATCTAATCAAATACAGTTCTCAAAACCATGCCAGAGTCCATATCGCGGGGAGATTTGGCCATCTCTCCTGCCATGCGCCGATGATCTCTGGTACACGTTCATCAAAGCCGCTTCTGCTCGCGGCGATTCCACTGTCGAAGCCAGCAGGATTGCGCTCTCGCTCCTCGATAGCAACTTCATTGAGAGAGTCTGCCAGGTCCAGGATGCCCCGGCCCCCGACCAAAGCTTCCTCGTGGTTATCTTTGATGTCGACATTGATAACGTGCACCGGTCGGTTCAAAGGGGACCCCCGAGACATGAGGTCGTCGATCACAGCATCCCAGCATCTCTCTTCGCAAGTGATGACGACGTCTACAACCCCTCCCTCGACACCCTCGGCACCTTTATCTTTGCTGTGCTCCAGTCGAGGTGCTCCCACCTGCCAATCCTGCCACCTCTCAGGGCCCCACTTGACATTTCTATTCCGCTCGAGCATGTTCAGCAGACCATTAGCACGGTAGAGACGCGGATCCTTAGACTCCAGCTCTTTGTACATGCTATCGTAGGACGTCTTGTTGAATTGGTAGACGTTGGGCTTATCTATTGAAGGTCCAGGGAGACGGACCAGAGACCCCGTGCCGAAGGAGATGACTGGGTAGTGAGCCGCTGCGAGACGGAGATGTGATTCCATGGATCTATTGAAAGGTTAGCAGCTGCGTTTCCAGGCGCGCGGAGAAGTAACGAGCCTATTTTGATTGCTCGCACAAACGGTGCAGAACTTGAGCTTAAATCCTCCTGGGTCATGGCGTTCACCGTTTGATGCACCGTTGGTTGCCCCGGCTTGCGTTGGAGGTTGAGCCATGGTTTGGGGAGAAGGGGGGGCGGTGGATTGTTCGAAATGCTTGCGGCGGACGAAGGTCACGTCGTTCCTGCGACCAGAAGATCACATTTGCAACGCGCTGAAGAATCTTCGTGCTCACTCTGACTAGGATAGTTTTGCTATTAGCTCCGCATCCACGAATCATCCACGAGAACAGCGAGAGGGTTGAAATGCGTTCAGTTATAGCGTAAAAAAAAAGGTTCATCCTCATAGGTGAATAGGACAGCTCCAATATAGTATATCATCATGTTGCCAGAGGGAGTGAAGAGTAGGGAGGGGCTGGATATACGTACAGTGAGTACAGTACCGTTGGAGTTGGGTTTCGGTTGTCGTGGGGTGTTGAGCATGATGGATTGAGCGAGGTCCAAGAACGGGGAAATGATCTTGAGGTTTGTAGTTCAAGGGAGGCTAATCCGTTAGCGCCGCTCGCTTAGCCTCTACTCCATACGGTATAGTACGGTAGGGTACGGCGACCAGCAGGTAGCAGATTGATATGCAGAATCCAGATGTCAGCAAGCTGCGACAGCTGAGATGTGCAAGTGGAAAAAAGGGATCGGAGATAGCACGGAGATAGATTCGTGGAGGGCATAAAGTTGGATCATAGGTATATCATGTTCTCGCAAGCAAGCTATTCATTTATTCTTGCGGTCTGCGATCTATGCACAAACCGAAGGGTGAACGTACACCGGTGCTTTGATGGGTCGGGCTGCATAGGGAGCCAGCACGACTCAGACAGGCTCACCGGACAGGCTCACCGGAGATGTAGCTCGGAAAGGCCTCAAGCAATAAACAGTTAATCATTATTATTATATTATACTTAACACACGACCCGTGGGCGGTATACATTGTACTCCGTAGTACCTACAGATGAAGCTGTGTGTTGCTGTTGGTATGGTATGGTATGGTATGTATTGGTGTTTCAAAGGTGCATGGGCAACTCGTTTATTCCCAAAATAGATTTATGGGTCTCTAGAGATTTATATGGATCTTCATGGGTCCATATGGGTCTATATGGGTCCATATGGGTCTAGGATACGGGTGAGCTCAGCTACCCGCCGCCTCTGCTTCTTCTTCCAGAACGATGCACGAGTTTTAAGTAAGCAGCGCCCTGTTGTCGTTGCTGCTGTCGCTGTCGGTGTCGGTGTCGCCGTCACTGTCGCCGTCACTGTCGTCGTCGCAGAATCCCATGATCTTGATCCCTTTCTCCAGGACCAAAAAAAAAAAAAAAAAAAATCCTCTTCTTATCTTGCCATCACAATCTCTTCCCTTCTGGTACCTTGCTTCACAGCTCTTCGACGCATTGCGGGGTCCTGATCGGGTCTTGGTCTGATCTGGTCTGGTTTGTTTTGGTCTTGGTCGCTCACAGACTTTGCGGCGTCCGGATTCCTCCCTTCACCCTTCACGGGTCCAGCTCAAGCTCCAGCTCCAGCTCCGGCTACAGCTCCAGATCCTGCTCCTGCTCCTAACCCCCAACTTCACCTCCAGCTCTCCAGCAGGCAAGCGATCTGATCTGATCTGATCTGATCTGATTTGATCTGATCTCATCTGATTTGAGCGCCAGGCCAAATCCAAAATCAGCCCCGTCGACCCTATTTCGGGCGATCTACAGTGTACAGCCCTGAACCTCTTTTTCGGAAACAATACTCTTGTCGGTTTCCTGGCGCATGGGTACTGACATTTGAATACCTCCCTGCTTTGCTTTCCTTACCTTACCTTAAGTCTCCTACAGTACTTCGAGGCGGTGGGGTCAGCGCTCCCCTTGGTCTTTTAAGTAAGAAATTAAACCAGTGTGCTCTTGCAAAGCATCAACCTGGGCGCCATCCGCCTCATTCTCACCCTCGAACCCTCTCGAACAGGTCTCACCTTACGCGACTGTCGCGTCCGGTATTGATCTCTTGTCGCATCGACAGGTCAACAATTCCTCACCTCGTCTGATCCTACAGGCGGGACTGTCATCATTGTTGTTGATCTAGCGTTCGGGCATTAGACGATCGGACGAATCCCGAAACAAACCCGCATCCCCCTCGTCGCTTCTTGGACGGATCCCAGGCTTGCTGGCAAGCTCCTTAACTGATTCTACGACCAAACACCCTTTGCGCACTCCGAGGATACAGATTACTAGCAGAAGCAGAAGCAGAAGCAGAACGCCCCTTATGAGCGCCGTCATGTCTCCAACGCTCGATGCCACCATTTCTCCACCAGAGTCGCCGTCCCCACCAGTTTTGTCTCCCTCGTCAAATCCGAATCATCCTCCATTGCCACCCATAATGACATCTCCTCCCCCGAGACGATCGAATCTACAACAACCCACTTCACATGCCTCAAAGAATAGGCTTTCGCAGTACTCGAACAACTCCGTACCTTCCCGAACACGGTCACTGTCGCACATATTCCCCGCCTTCCATTCTAGTCTACCATACACAAATGTTCGAGATTTCGCATACCCAGTCCTCCATCCGATGCACTATGGGCCGCCCTTAGAACCTTCGCAGCCTGCTTCTGGCTTATCTACTCCAGCGAGCGAAAAGCGGTTCTCCGATCCACCAACTTCGTGGGATAACAGAGGCAGTTGGGTTCCAGGGGCGTGGACTAGTGAGGGCTTGCTAAAGGGCGAGCAGTTGGCCCCCATACATTTCGGAGACGGGCCACCATGGAGTGAAGACGAAGATCTCCAAAGCCCCGTGGTAGTTAGTTCGCGCCATAGGAAGCATAAGTCATCTTCTAGTGCACTTGTGGGCTCGCAAACGCGTGGTAGGGGGAGGAGCCGAAGAGAAGATGGTGAGCGGACTACGAGCATGCTCAGCCAGGAGAATCACGAACAGGACAGTGAGCTCTTCGATGGAAGAGACGCCGATGACAGCGAGAGATATTATGCGAACGAGGGAAGTGAAGCATACGGGCCAGGAGGGGAGGGTGAGGCTGCATCGTATCCATCAGAGCAAGTTCGGCATTCCAACTTGGCACCCTACAATGTGCCAGGGCAGAGAGATTCGCACTTTGCCGGTACGCTACCCAGCAGGTCATACACGGACGAAACTGGTCGGGAATATCGGTCAGAGTCTGATGCTTCCAGCTCAGCTTCTTCCCCTGGATTGAAGCGGCATGATGAGTCTCGGTACTCGCGGGATTATCAATTTACTATTGCGTCTCCAGACGAGGAGATGCACGGCAAAGCAGTTGCTCTATTTGACTTTGAGCGGGAAAACGAGAACGAGCTACCCCTGGTTGAGGGTCAGGTTATTTGGGTATCATATCGACACGGTCAAGGATGGCTCGTTGCGGAGGATCCAAAGACCCAAGAAAGTGGTTTAGTTCCCGAAGAGTACGTTCGATTATTACGGGATATTCAGGGAGGCTTAAACAGCCTCACGGGCCAAGTCACCGACCAATTACTCAGCCCGCTCGATACAGGTACACCGACCCAGGCAGAGCATAGCCAAACATTTGGACATTCGACAACGGGCAGCAATGGAAGCAATGGGTATCAACAACCTATCGTGTCGACATTTTCGACCTCTTCGAAAGATCTTCACCCCTATCCTCAACATTTACTCGGGACATCAGCTGGGCAACCTCCCCCACAAGTGATCCATTACCATGGGCAACGTGGAGGTAGCACAGCCAATACACCGACGGTCTCGAGTCCACTAGAGGGTGCCAGAGATAGGAACAGCAGCCAAGACGCGAACGTTCGGAAGACCAACGACAGCTCTGATTCTACCCCCATTGCGACGCTTCCCGATACGAGGCTAGAAACCGCAGCAAGGCAACCTTCGAGTTCCGATAGCGACTCGACAGACGACTTATTGGATACGAAGAAGGAAAGCCCATGAGCTTGGGCGGAGTACTTGGCGATTTATGTGAAACCAGGCGAGATGAGATGAGATTTCTAGCGGGTTGGTTTAGGTGCATTTGGTCTCCTTTCTCTATACCCATCTATCGCCGGTCTGGATAGCAGGAGCCCGAGCGAGAAAGATCCTTCGCTTAATTTTAATTCGTCCCGCTATGTATTACCTACGGTGTTTTTGCGGCTATGGGCTCTGCGGGCTCTGCACGGGGCGAGCAGGGACGGGAGACTTGTTGATGCATTTAAGGTTATCACGAGCTTTACGAAGGCAGAGAGGCACACGATGTACGAGTTCAGATGAGAGGTTACGAAGCCGGGTTGCGGTCAAGAGGGGTGGAATGGAATAATACACAGGAAGAGAAAACAATGAATAATACTGATTCTAATACATACCGTATATGTGTGTATGTGTGTGTGTATATATATATATGCCTTGGTAACTGTTGAAGGGGCTCAACTGATTACTAAACGAGCCTCGGTTCCGAGCCTTCTTCGTATGACGGACTACTTGCACTTGCAAACCGACAGATAAATCCAAGAGATCTTGGCCATCCATACTGTACAGCTGTCCGTAGTGGAGCGATCGATCGTATCTGGCTGTTGAGCTCCAAACCAATTACCAAGTGGTCGTAGTATGTGTCGGTCACTACGGAGTATGCATGTGACAGGTACTGTGTACTGTGGGGTGGATGCCATGACGCGGGCCGCCGCATCGTCCTCAAACACGGCTTTCTTCTTTCACCACTCCGTCATAATCAGCCGAGGAAAACTGATAGCTCATAGCTGATTACGAAGGGACTTACGATTCGCTATTGCTGTACAATCCTGCGCACTAAAATCAAACATGGCAACTGACTTCAGCCCTGCGCTCATAGTCGTAGATGTCCAAGAAGATTTCTGCCCACCCGTCCGTATCACTCACTCTCCTTCCTTTGTCCTGTCCTCCGTCCTCCGTCCTCTCTCCTCTCACGAACCCATGTCACTAACGAACCTGCATTCACAGAACGGCTCCCTCGCAGTCGCCGACGGCCGCGCCATCATCTCCACAGTCAACGACCTGCTCGCCCTGCCCTTCACCCTCAAGATCGCTACCAAAGACTGGCACCCGGCGAAGCACATCTCGTTCGCGTCCTCCCACCCGTCCAAACGGCCCTTCCTCGACACGACGACCATCACGAACCCGTCCAACGCCGCCGAATCCTACGAGTCCCGGCTCTGGCCCGACCACTGCGTGCAGCACACGCCCGGGGCGGAACTCGTGCCGGAACTGAACGTGGGACTGGTGGATCGCGTGGTGGAGAAGGGGACGGAGAGCGCGGTGGAGATGTACTCGGCGTTTTACAGTCCGTTGAGGGAGCCGCGGTGCTGCGATAGTGGGTTGGTTGGGCTGTTGAAGGGGAAGGGCGTCACGGATGTGTACGTGGTGGGTTTGGCGTTTGATTATTGTGTTAAGGCGACGGCGACGGATGCCGCGAGGGAGGGCTTTAGGACGGTTGTTGTGCGGGAGGGGACGAGGGCCGTGGATGCGGACAGCTGGGAAGGGGTAGTCAGGGAGTTGGATAGGGAAGGGGTGAGGGTTGTTGGGGTAGCGGAGGAGGAGGTTAGAAAGGTAAGAGGGTTAGAAGGGTAAGAGGGTTAGAAGGTAAGAGGGTTACTATCCCCCCCTATGAATACATGTCGGACCCAGTTTAGGCCTATAAATCCTAGAACGGTGGTCTCTGAATGGCTCAAAGCCCTGTCAAATCTATTGCGCGGATTAAATACTGACCTGAAGATACTTTTCAAGGCTGGACTTTTATAAGTTGATTGGTCTTAGCCATGGTAAGATTACTTGCAAAATTTTACTTTCGATATGTATTCATGGGGGGGGAGAGTAGAGGGTATGAGGGTAGGAGGGTAAGAGGGTAGGAGGGTAAGAGAGAGTAAGAGGGGGTAAGAGGGTAAGAGGGTAAGAGGGTAAGGAGGGTAGGAGGTAAGAGAG